AAATTTTTTTGATTTGCTTTAGAATACTTATTAAGATCAGTCCCATAGTTGTCAATAGTAGTTTGTACAGATTCTTTTTTTATATTTTGGGATGAATCAAATTCTAATTTCCTCTTTTTAATAAATTAATTTTTTTTACCTTCATTTAAGGCATTTTCAAAGGTAACCATTTTGAATGGATGAACTCTCTAAAAATGAACAACAAAAATTATTTGAATACACATTAGTCATAAGGTATATTTAATAGATTTATGTACTATCTCATAATTAATTTATTTAAAAATTATTTAAATGTTTTCATTCATGTTTTTTTAGTAATTACTAATATTCTTACATAGTAATAAAGTACTTAAAAAATTCAATTAATTAATATTATAGTAAAAAGTAATGGAGCATAATGTATCATTATTAATTTATGTAATCTATACAATACTATTAATACCTATATATTTTTAAAATTAATATTTTCTCAGCCTTTATTTCCTTTAATAGTTAATAGTTAATTAATTTAATTAAAATTTATTTTACTAATAAATTAATAATTTAAAGAAAACCTTAATAATAAGTACCTATAAAGTTTAACTTAAACAATTTAGAAAAATTAAATTGTTATTTGTTTTTCAAAATTATGTCTTGACTATTATTTTATTAAATTGCATTCAGGTTGTATTATTTTTTAATACTTTATATAATATGAGTTTTTTTGATTGTAAATAATATATTATTATAATATATCCTACATGGTTTAAAAAACAATTTAAAAATAATTTTGAATATATTTTTACTATTTTAGTACTAATTACAAATAGCCTATCTTTTAGATAATTAGAATATTAACATTAATACTTTTTAGTTATTTACCATAACATGACGTTTGAAATTGGACGGTGTAGTTTTGGCTGTACTTATTTCCTTTCCTGGGGGGCCACATAAAACACATTTTGCAATAACATTGTTTCCCTTCATTTCTTTAAATATAAAAAATGATTCCAAACCACTCCAAGGCAAACATTTTACTGAGTAAGAAAACAAAATATTACAAAATATTATCTATTACCAATATTTTAGTTATATAGGCTTAAGTTTCTTTTACAGCTTATTAAATAAATAAATACAAACAATACATTTTAGTAGAACTTACCATTTACTATAGGATCTGGTATAAAATCTGATAATGTGTTATTTTGGGAGCTAATCACCAATTCTAAAGATTGTTCAGGTTCAGACACATTTTTATTTAATGAACCTAAAACTGGCATTTGACTATTGTTTGCAGAAGAATCATGATCATGATTGACTTGACTCTTAGATTGTCTGGTTCTCGAATAAATTTTTCGAGAATAGATCTGGGCCTTCTATTTCCAGATCCAGATAACATCATAATTTTTAAAATATACAGACTAAAAAAAAAATACGAATATGTCATGGCTTTTATTCACTTAAATTATTAATTATTTTAAAATGTTTCAAGGTAGTACTAAGTTCTTAATTATAGTTATAATTTTGGCTTTAGGTAATGTGATGTTATTAATTTAAATAAATGAATAAGTAATAATGTACGTTATTATACGCATAATACATTATATTTTTTTTTTTTTTTTGTAAATTGTAGATACAAATTAATATTTGATAATTTTTTAGTTCATAAATGCATACAATATATTAAAATAGTTTTAAATTCATAAACATCAGAGCCCAATAAGCAATTAGTAATTACTATAACCATCAATCAGTAAACTTTTTAACTTAAAAAAATAAATAAGAACAATAGTAATTAAACACTACTTACTTTATTTGCTCAATATAATAATATCAGACTGATCACTGTTCTCACTGCATCGTCTGCATTTGACAAAGTGACAACTTGCGACAACGCCGATAACGTATTACATTATTTATTACACACAAAATGTCTATATACTACATATTTATAGACCACAGTACATAAAAATAACTAATATCATTGATTATAATTTATAATATTTATAAATTATAATCAATGCTAATACGTAATAATTATTCGGAAAACACCAAAATCTATTTAAATCTTTAACAATAATATTATTATGACGATAATATCCAACTGACATCAATACACCACACGATAATAAGTTAATACGACACAAATTATATATATAAATATTTATTCTGTTATTCATAATAACATTTATAGTCAATCGAATCATTTCTATAACCCACATCCCTGGTATTCCTACAATCCTACATGCATAAATAATAGCATTGTTGCTGAGGTGTGTAGGGGCGGGGTTCATGCTATTACTCATTAATTGGGAAGTCAATTAAAAATAACTTATTATTTGTTAGCGCGTAGAAACAAAGAAAAACCATATTAAAATTAAAAATTTGTTTTTTAAAATGTCAAGGAATTTTGATTTTCGTTCACATTCCTCAATATAATGAATTTGTTCATATTCTTTTTCCTTTATTTTTAAAGGAAGCAGTTCAAAGCTTCGTTCCTACAAAAAGAACTCGTTCCAGGAATCCATTCCTTCTGGAACGAATTCCTTCCCAACACTGGTCAGACCTAGAAAACTGCCTGCACGTAGAGATGAAAATTGGAAAAATCAGTTTGTATTTGAGACCAAGAAAGAGAAAATCCGAGTTATTACAATGTATCCATTGATTGATTCGTTAGTACAAGGAATTGACGAACGTTCCAATCAAGAAAGCACTTCAATCATTACTGGAGTGGGAAAAATGTTGAAATTTGAATTGAGTAAAGATGACATTAATTTATTGACAAATCATTTTGATTTATCAAAGGATGAATTTGTAAGTGAAATACATCTTTTGAAGGCACGAAATAAAGATGATATTCTTACTAATAAAGACTGTGCATTTTAATTAAAATGGTTACGATAAAATGGTATTGAGACAATTTTTTTTCAACATAGAAAAGTATTAAAAGGTTTCTCCGTCATACCAATTACAAGTGCTTCATGTTAAAGAGCTTTTTCGAAGCTAACACATGTTAAAACTAAGCTACGGACGACAATGACTCAAGGACGATTGGAAAATTTAATACTTCCATATATTGAACAAACTATGGCAAAAAATGTCGATATTAATGATGTGATTGAAGAATTTAAGAGAATGGTTCCATATGAACGTCGTTTAGCTTTATAAGTCTTAACTTTAAGATAAAAATTTAAATATATTTAGTTTCTGTATTTTACATGTAAAATTTAAGTTTATATTATAAGTGATACAATTTTATGTTTATATAACATCAATAATTATCCATGTTATACAAATGTATATTGTAATAAAAAACATTTATGTTCCCTATCGCCCTCCACCATTATTTCCTTTGAGTATAATAGGTGCAAAATGACTCTCGAGAGTGGCCCAGTCTAATTAAAATGTCTAGTTCCTATGTCTATGGCCGTAATATGTATAAATACTATATAATATTATACTTGTATATTGTACATATATGCATTAAAAAAGAAAAAAAATGACCGAAAAATACTAAAATATGTTCTTAAAATGAAAAAATATTGAAATATGCAAAAAAAGCAAACATTTTCACCTTTGAAATCTCTGTTACATAAATCAAATTATAAACTTGGAAAGCATTGTCTAAGATTAACCAAAAAAAGATGCATTTTGCATTGAAATTCGAGCCCTATTAATCACATATTTATTTTATTTTACATAATAATTAACAATAGATGATCGCTACAAAACAAAAGATAATGTATTATTACCTATTTAAAAAATCACTTAAAATTAACTTACTAATGAAGTTTTAAAATTATTGTCGTTTTATTTTTAGTTCGTAATAATATATAAATTTGTATTTAAACTTAAAATTAAGATGAGAAACAACAAAATATAAATAAATAAATACAGCATGTGGGCCGTGGGGGAATCTATAACCCCCATAACCCCCGTAATTACGCCCCTGGTGGAGGTTACATTTTAATAATAATTTAACATTTTCACTATTTTTTATTTTTTTGTAAAAAAAAAAAATTATTACATTATAAAATATTATTTAATATTAGACATTAGTACAATAGTACTCATTAATTTTGGCGTCATTGGATCTGGACTTAGGTTAGCACTTAGCATGCTACTGATTTTCCTGGTCTACACGAACCAGTCGTGGGATCAGTAATACAAGTTACTGGCTGTTTTTTTGACTTGTGTCACATTTACCGACAATCCTCGGGAACGGCACCAGTGACCAATAATTGTACAAGTATGCCGATCCGACGGCATGGCAAGTAACCACCAGTACCAAATATCGGCCGAGTACACTAGTCGCGGGAACGCGGCTTTAATTACTGGTGAATGATCAAGCAGATCAAATAGGGCTAACGGTCATGTGTATGACCTGCGCGCCACCGACAAAAGCTCGTCGCATCTTAACGCAAATGGAGTATACTGAGTATAGATTCTATATTATGAAAATTATAGACCACAAAATTATCCATTATATAGTATATTAGATCCACTAATATTCCTTTAATCGGCAAGGTAATTTCTACGACAAAATAATTATTATTATTTAATCACGAAATTTTTAATAATTATAAAAACATGTATTTATATATTATTAATAAATGTCAACAATAAGTATTGTTAGTTAGTTATTACATACATAAATTAAACATTTGTTATATTTCTGTGGTTTATAACTAAACTTACTCTAAAGTCTAAAGAGTAAAACTAAATAACAAACAACGATGAAAGATAGCGTTACGCGTTGTAACTTAAATAGGTAAGTTTTTTTTTTTTTAAAAGAATATTTACAATCTGTAAACATCATTATACAATAAGCAAATTATGAAGGGCTTAAAAAGAAAACAAGACATGTAGACTTGATAGAAGGAGGCGTCCAGTGACACCACTTTAATTCTTAAATAAGTTATAACAATTTTATTATTTAATCTATTCTGTGATAATATAATATTATTGATAAGATAAAATACACCCCCTCCCCAAAAATCTACTCAGTGTCAGTACTCACTACTCCCCACTAGCACAATCGTTAAAACTTAAAATTTCCTTAAATATAGTAAAAATAATAAATACTAAATAGTCAAAACTTAAAATAGTCTGGTAATTCGTACAACTGCCATCACCCACCCATGTGACAAAATTGAGAATATATGTTTTCATTATTTCAATTGTCACTCGTCAGTGTCTCCAGCTATCTAAATAATAGTAATTTTGTTAAATATCAATATATTTTCTGTGGTTGTTAGACTAACATGTGTACAAATTTCCAGTTTTAGTTCTGTAGTGCTATACTCAAAAGCCCGATTTAGAACGTTTAGGTTCTTTCTGTGGGTTAATCCTTATTGTGACAGACAACAGTATTTATAACGCAATTATCAATACATCGTGAGTAACTATTTTACCTTCAAATTTTGTAATATTATGAAATTATTTTGAAAACAAATTTATGAAAGTATAATATTCAATAGTAGATCTCAAATGGCCATTTCCCATTTCAAATTGTGTTTACATCCTTTTAGAAAAAAAAAATTATCTTTTATTCCATTATACTAAAATGTATTTTATCTTTTGTACAAGCACTTAAAATTAAACAAATTAAATGAATAAGCCAGGAAATCTGAAAAATAAAAATAAACCATCTGTTTGGTATTTTTAAATTTACATTTTTTCTTCAATACTTACCATTGTATCATTTGTGGACAGGTATGTATTAATGAATAATATTTTTTAGTATATGCCATATTTTTTGTATCTTAAAAAAAATGTTTACTGCACTAAAAGATAAGTCAAAAAACATAGTTTTGTGGCTCATTTCCTAGTTCTCAAATGACACGACATTACAAGAATAATATACAAATTATCCATGTAATATGTGGATAATATAAATTTATTTTTATCCAAAGCAAATATTTTTAGTGGACGATCTACTTACAGAATAACTACATTTATATTTTTATAATTACATTGTATAGTTCTCAAGTGATGTGTAGATGTGATGGGTCATGGGTAATCGTAGAATTCAAAACGGATTATAAAATAATATACTCGTTGATTAAATTAACTATATACTTATAAAGTTTATATTTTATTCATTTACCTATAGTATAATACATCCCTGTTTGTGTTACAACAAAGTTATAAATTGAAGTTTGAATGAAAAGTTAAATCATAGTGAAACTCTAAAATTGTGTTGCACTACAAGATTTTTTTTAACCATAACATATTTATAAACTGTTGTTTAATAATTTTATATTTTATACATTGAATTATTATTATTGAAAATATTCATTATTCATTAGTAAAATAGTTTTTTGGGCAAAAATCCAAAAATTAATCGAAGTTATAAATATATAATACATGGGTACCATATACAGATAAAGACTTTTATAATTCAGGAAATTTATTTAAATTTGTTTTATTTCAGGTTATAGAATGTGGATAACTATGAAAACATATTCCATACAAAATGAAGAAGATATTAGTGAAATATTGTTAAATAATATAAATAATTTCAACAATGTGTTTGAATTAAAAAAGAAAAACATATTAAAATCTAACAAGAAAATTATAATTGGCATGGATTTAATTTTGCTCAAAGCAAACCTGACATCATTACAAATTCAAAAAACTAACATTTCAAAATCTTTATTGAAAAAGAACAGTAAAGTGTATTTTGTAAGTTGTATTAACATCAAAAATAAAAAAGGTGAATATTTCAGTTCATTAATAAATAATATAAGTGAAAATGATAGAATAATTATAATTAACGGAATTATACTTACACAGTCTAGTATTTACAATTCTAACATATTAACTGTTTTAGTTCGACCACAAGATAATTCTTCAGTTATCTTACTTAAGTATAAAACTTCATTAGAAATTTCAAATTCACTACTTGAAAAAAATCTTTCTTTATTAACTGGTCCTGGTGTTTATTCGTTATTTGGAAATGTAAAAAAAATCGTTAGATATGACGATAAAAAATTAATGGCCATAAGATTACAGTGTTGTGATAAAGCATGCTTAAAAACTCTTAAATATTCTCATTTTGTTTATGATTATAAAAACAATTTAAACAAAAAAACTGAATCTGAAGTTAAATACGATTCATTTTCAAACAAAATTGATATTTTAGTTAAAACTCCAAGTAATGATTTTACTTCATTGTCACTTAATCAGCGAATATGTTTAAACAATGTAAAAGTGAAAAATATAAATAATTTGGATATATTTTCACTACATATGAATGGAAATAGTCAAAATATAAAAGCTGATCCAATAGAAACTGGTATTGCAAATTCTCTTAGACCTCCTACAAGACATTTTCCAATACCAAATGAATTAAAACCTTCAACTCAGCCTAAGACCAAACAATTATCTAGTGATGGTCAACTGGTTTTAAAAGATTATACTCAGGAGTTAAGTACAATAATTTCTCCATCAAAAACATTACTGGATTTATCTGATGATGATATTGTCAATGTGTCACCATGTAAAGACTTTTCAACATCTACTCAGATTATTCAGAAGGATAATAATGATCTCAATAGTGCTTGTTCATTTGGCAAAAGAAAATGTAATGATCACTCATTAATTACTTTATCAAATAAAGATACCTCCTTAAATGAAAGAAAAATATTTTCACAAAGAGAAATTTCACCAAGCTCTTCTACATCTACAGATGGTTCATGTTCACCTAGTTTCTTCAACAACGAACCAGAATTATTAGTATCCAACCAAGAAACTCAATCTAATGTTGTAAACCAACCTACACAGTGTATAGGTCCTTGTAGACTAATTTATACTGAACCAAACATATTTGTTAGTAATGAAATTGTAAGTGGATATTGCATAGAATGTGTAGCATTTATTCAAAAATGTTACCTTAAACAGTCAAATCAATCTTCAAGTATGGAATACAAGTGTCCTAAATGTTCTAATATTGTACATCTTACATTTTTTTTTACTATGAATTTTCTGTATGGAAATAATGAATCTCAAGCTATACAAGTATGCTGTTACAATAAACATGCCGAACATGTAATCAGAAAAATTTCAAAAAAAAAAATAAAACTTGAAGAATATTTATCGAACCCCAGTACTAGACAACTAGTTATAAATTCAATGAAATCACTTATTAGCAATAAAACAAAATTAAACATAATTGTTTGTCTTTCGCCAAGTGATAATACTAACATACTTCTGGGAATAGATACTAAATATGTGGTTACAGTTACAACATAATAAACAATATTATTTTTTTTTTACATTCTTAACTGTTGGATTAAATTTATTATTTTAATTATGTAAATTCTTTATCCTATTAATTTTTAGTAAAGTGCTAAACTATAAAACATTGATTTTTAGTATTTGTATAAGTAGAATCAATAATAATAATTTTAGTTTTGTCTTGTATTTACCTACAATAAATCATTTGTAATATACTCATATATTGTTTTTATTTGGATACTATAGAGAAAAAAAATTGAAACTTGTCATAAATCATAATAAAAAATATAAATGCACTATATTTTTATAATATCACAAAAATCTTTTAAAAGAAACAATCATTAACTGATAGTTGTTACCCCTTCTATCATCAGAATTCATAACTTGGTCAGTTTTAGTAGTTGTGATTACTCATTTCTTCTTCAGATGTCAGTTATTAGGTAACAATCTTTGATTTGTAAAAATGAAATAAAAACAATTATTACATGTTTATTTATAATATTATAATATATGTGTTATCAATAATTTCACTGGAATTCAACACCTAATATTACAAATAAAAATGTGTAAAATCTGGAAACATATATCATATAGTAATTATTCTAAATAATAAAACAATCATACTAGTCTACAATACTATTATACAATGTCAATGGTAATGATGTTTGAAAAACTTTAGAACTATTAAATTTAATATAGCAATACATTTATATATTAAACTTATAATGTTATAATTATTATTTAATCTGTTTTATATTAAATTATTTAAGACATTTACAAATGTTCAATACTTTATTATTGTTTATCAATACAATATGGTCTTAATAGTCTTCAACAACAAACTTTCATTAAAGACAAATAGATTAAAAATTGTATTAATTTTTATTAATGACTAATTTATTATAATAATAATATAAAGATAGAAATGTGTAATAATAATAGTAAAAAAAAAAGCATGTCATTTAAAATAAATTTAGTATGTATTTCACGTCAAAGTTACTTCCACTGGAAAGTGAGAGGTTTCTTCACAGGGTACTTTTCATCATCATTCTACCTAGTATCAATTAAGCTTATTGTTCAACACATAGTTCCTAGTCTAAATAATAATTTTATTAAAATATACATAAATTAAAACAGATTGTATAATATTAAAAAAATAAATAATTTAGTTAGTATATTAGATATAAAACAGATGTTTTATACTTGTGATAACTGGTCAGTATACATAATTTTTGAAAATTATGTATAATGAAAATGAAAATTTAAAAGGAAAACTAAAATTTATTTTTCTTTAGTTTTTTAAGTTATTTTTAAAGATGTTATTTGAGATATATACATATTTAATATAACATAAATATATACATTATACATATTGTATTGTATTTTTATGCCAAATCTTAATGATATTGAATATAACTTATAAACATTTTTTAAATTTTAAAAGTTAAATTCTTTAATTTTGTTAACTATTTCATAAGTACTAGTAATATTTGACATATTTTTTAAAAAATTTTATTTAATTTTTATCTATTATACACATATCAATAAAATAAGTGAATATGACATCTATAGTAAAAAGAAGACATGTTTCCCAGAATGAAGAATCCACCAACTGGAGTAACTTTGGCATTAATTAAATTACAAACATATTTAATTATCAGTCATGATTATTATTTTTCTATTTTGTAAAAATGAATTAATATATTATAATATAAATGAAAGAAAAAATAAATAATAAATTACACCCACACAATATATTTGTTGTTTTACAATAATGTGTAATAAAAATTATTTTGACAAGTAAATAATACTAATAATTTGAATGAATATATTCTTTCTAGTATTTTGTTTTAACTAAAAATAATACTATTATGCATTTTACGTTTTCATATTCTAAATTTTGGTTTTGAATGCACGCAACCAAATAAATATAAGTTATTAATTTGAATTAAAGGATAGAAAATTAAAATTTGGTAAAAATGTAATTTGGTTTAAAAATAAATGACAATAAAATTAAGAATTAAAGAATTATTGAACTTATATTCAAAAATAAATATAATGACTAAAATTTAAAATATACAATAGATGAATAAAGTTAATAAGAAGTTAGATAGAAGTTATTGTTAAGTGGATTAAATAATTTTTCAGCTCAATAAATCATTTATATCAGATAAAGACAATTGTTTAACTTGTGACTGAGTTTCTTCTTGTTTTATCCATAAATCATTCCAGTTATTTGCCGAATTATGAAGGGACATTGGTTTAGTTTGTGGATTAACTGAATTATTTTCAAATCCTGAAAATCTACCTTGAAGACCTGTTGATTTGTTTTCAAATCCCATTGATTTTGATTGAGATAAAGAACTTGTGGTAGGTTTCATTTGATTTGACCAACTTATTTGATTTATATTTGAATCAATCAGAGACGATGTGAGATCCTTGGGTACTGGATTATTCTTGTTGCTTTTTTCTACGCTTGGAGTAAGGGTAAAATCTTGTTGAAACGTATGGAATGGTATATCTTGAGATTGTTTTGTCCTAGAATTCATTAAAAAGCACAAAATATAAATGATGGTAATTCTTTGTCCATTAAACATACTTAATTTTAGTAAATACTGTTAGATTAAACAAAAATTGTTTCTATTTTTTTTTTTTAATTTATAAAATCAAATTTCAATTTTATTTTATTTTTTTAACTAGCAAGCTTATTAAATTTTAAAATTTTAAAATTTGATTCAAACTTCTAATAATTAACTTAATTTTAGCTATTACAAAATATTTATAGACAAAGTAAGTAATAGTATTACATCCCTAATTTTGAAGAAGAATCAAACATTTTAGAAAATTTAATAAACTTAAACCAAACCAAACTATCAAAATTATACATCAAACACTTAGTATAGCATTTAACAAATTCTTAAAACTTGAAAAATACAATGCAGATGAAATGATAGAAATATAAAAAAAAAATATCATTCACAATAACACTATTTAATTTATATAATGTTTTTTTTCTATAAAATTTAGTACAAATTTTTATTTTATTGGTTAAATTTTCAAACCAAACTATTAGGTATTAATTTTAATAAAAAAATTATTTTAACATAAATAAAAATAAGGAAAACTGAATTCATTGAATCAAATAATAATTTTTAGTAAATTTAGTTGTTTTTTTGAAAATATTAACAAAGGTTGAAAAAATAATAAAGAATCTAGTATTTAATTTTTAAATTTTAGATGTAAAAACAAAATTGTTTTACGAATTTCTTACTACAGAAGAATTTAATAATTTTTGCAAATTTTGATATTTTTTATTTGAGAAATTAATATCTCATGAAGATCTTTTTATTAAATTTCCAATAACAAATATTTAATAATTTTTTTGTTTGTTTTTTCCCAATTATAAAAATAAGTACTGGGAATTTTAAATTTTACCTTTCTAAAATCCAAACTATAATCAACTTGATATCAAAAATCAACCCCCATTATTGAAAATAGAAGCATTTTATTAAAAATTTATCTATTTAAATCCACAAAACAAAATACTTTATGATACAATTAATACATTCATTGCTCCACTTAAAATATAAAATATTTTTACCAAATCACTAATTTGTTCATATGGATATGGGTTATTAATAGATTAAAGAAAAAAAAATAGTTAAATATTCAATAAAATTAAATATAAATTATAAATATACTTTGATTTTTCATAATTGAAAGATAAATTATTTGTTATTTCGTTGGAACCAGATATTTGCATTAAAGGTTTTTCAACATAACTTTCAAATTGAAATTCATTTGTTAAACCATTTGACTTAGTAGTTGTTCCATTTTCTACAGTTAAACTATTTGAAATTGATCTGCAAAATATGATGAATTATTTATCAATAAAACACAATACAAATATGTACTTAAAAAATAACAAATCAGTTAAAAAAAAAAAAAATGTATGTACCTGTGCTGTTCATTCAGTTGTTGTAATTTAGCTCGATGTTCAGTTTCAACACTATTAATCATTTCTTTCACAATTGATATTAAAACATTGAATTGATTTAGCGTTAGTGTATTCTCAATACACATTGGTATTAAAAAAGGTAAAATACTGAGAGCCATAGTTTCTTTTGTAATATACATTTTTTTATGAGAAAGTATAATCCTATACACACCTAATTACACCAAAATTAAATTATTTTTAATAATAAAAAATAATATTAATAATTACCTAAGATACCCATAATCACAGCTGGGTCCTTGGAAGGTATTTGAGGTAAAAATGGAATAATATCATCAAGTACTAGCCATCTATCTAAATATTCGATTAATTTACCAATGCAAACAAGACACTTTACACGAACCTAAAAAGTTAAATATACATTTAATAATAATCTAAACTTATTAAAGTGTTCTTATATTATTTTTAGATTATTTTTATAAATAAATAGGAAATATATATTTTTTATATATTTAAAAAATCAAATACAAAATATTTTTTTTTTCATACTAACACATTTAAAGTTATTCAGATAAATTGTTTGTTCTGATTAATATTTTCAAGTATATTTTCTTTATCATTTAAAAATAAACAAATTAAGACAATTAAATAAAGAAATATAAAATATTCTACTGTCCTGTGATGAACATGTATGTGCATAAACAACATTTTAATTTATTACAACAATAGAATATCATAGATTATTTTACAAAAAATATTAGTAAATATTGCAAGCACCCCCTATGAACTAAACTTGTGCTATGAGATTGTTATTTATCACTCCATGGACCATATGTATTTGTAAATATGCAAAGAGCACAATGCAAGTGAAGCAATCAGTTTTGGTAAGAAGATAGATTTAACTAAAATAAGGATGGGTGGTATATTCAAACCTTTGCTCTTTCAGTAAAAATAATTCAAAACACCACTAGTGGAACTAGTTCCAATTTAGCAACCTTCAATAATAGAGTAAATTAACATATTATCAAACATAAAACATTATTTATGTTTTAACATAGGTTTTTTAAAATAATTTATAAATTCTTAAACTTATAATTTATTAAAAATCCTA